CGAATGGTTTTACTGGCTGTCCCATGGGGCTCTGAGGCTGGGAGCTCTTACTGCCGGCTGCTTTTTGCTCCGATGCTCGCGTCCTCCTGCAAGGCTCCGCAGGTGGCACGGTGCGGCCTGCCTGGTGCTGCCGGGGCAGGCAGTCGGGCAGCAACCGGCAGCTCAGCTGGGTGGGGAAGCATCGGAGGGGCCCAAGTGGCTGCTCAGCAGGGACCCTGTCCCCAGGGCACAGTGCTGTGGGCCGGGCCTGGCACTGCTGGCTCCCGGGAGCCGAGGACACAGGTCCTGCCATCAGCTGCCAGCGGTGCCCAGCTCCACGTTGCCCAGGCCGGCCATCGGGCAGGGCCGAGTGCAGGGTCAGCCTGGACTGCTGTGCCTCCCTGGAGATGGGTCGGGTGCCTCGCCGCGTGGCTCCCCACGGAACCAGCTTGGGTCTTTCTACTAGATGTTTGATGGGTTAGAATGGCAGGGTTGTTCCTAAAAGGGGGTGTGGTGTGGGTTGGAGTTTTTGGGGTTTTTTCATCCTTAAGTCAGAGTATAACAGTGCCGGGCCTCCCTTCCTCCGGAGGGGTGGCAGTGCCAGCGCGGGGCCCTTCAGATGTCTCGGCCAGCTGTGATCCAGCTGTGCCCTGGGCAGTGAGTTGTAGAGGAGATGATATCAACTGAAGTGATCTGCTTCCACCTCAAAAATCATTTGGTGGTGTTGTAAGTAATATAAAGTTCCTAAAGCTTACAGAGGTTAGCTAAAAAGTGTTGCAGTTGCAGACTGCATCTATTGCTGCCTGTTGAGTTTTGAGCATCTTTAATGTGGAAACAAAGAAAACAAAACTGGCTAACACAAGAAAAACTGAAACACTGAACTCAAACCATATTAATTAACAAAGTGATTAAATCTGGTTGTAGTCCCTCAAACTGTTTCTAACAAGGGCTGGAGTTCAAGCTAACTGTCCCTATATGCCAACAGTTTTTTCTAAGCAGTCTGCTCTCTGAATAGCTTTTCACCAAGTCTGACTTACGCATAGGGGAGGGAGATGTGTGTGGATTTTATATATTCCTAAACTAGCACTTTAGGAAAAAGTTGAATTCAAGGAATAATAAAGAAAAAATCCCACCAAAATCTGGTTTTAAAATTTTACTATTTAAAAATGATGCATGTTTCTTTGCAGAAGCCTGACCACAAAAGGCTGTGTGTGTCGTACAGGGGCTTGAGCTGAGCAGGGGATTGTGAAGAGCAGTTGCCGAAACGCGAAGAGCAGCCAGTGCACTTTGCTCCCTTTGCTGATCAGACAACAAACACGCTTTTCTCTCCTGCGCTTTGGATAATCAGAGGGTCTTGTCAGCATGCATCTCCTGCTTCCTGCGCCCTGCACAGAGTCTCTGCTCAACAAAACACGGGTGTAAACAGTAGCAACAAATGTCAGCTCTGTTATCAGGCTGCTCTGGGGCCAAGGTCTTACTCAGTTCAATAAGATTAGACTTGGAATAGCTGCAGTGGAGCGGTTTGCCCCCGTCCGAGAGGCATTAGGCAGGAGTTCAGCTGTGCTTCTGTGTAGCTTCAGACCACGCTAGAGTCTCCTATTGGGAGCCATCAGTCGGGCCTTAGTCTGGTGGAGTGATCTTATTTCTGCTACCCTTCTCCTTGTGTTTGCCTTCTTGTCTCCTCTCTTATTCAACAGCAAACCTTTTGGGGCAGGGGCTGGTACCAGCTTGCACCATGCAGCGCGAGTGCCCAGCTGCTGATAGAGCAGAGACCTTTCCTTGGGCGCGGTGCTGCCTCCTGCCCACTCCTTGAATCAGCTTGAAGGTTCGATCTTCTGCCTTTCTCTTCCTGCATGTGCCTCTGGCTCTCCGGTGAAGGGCCGGGGTCTGTCTCCTTCGCCCTCCGTGCAGCGTGTGCCACTGATGCGGCTGGACGCAGGGTTGCGTTGGAGAGGGACGTTTGCAGGGTGCATCCTTGCACGCGGCATTGCTGCTAAAGTCTGTGAGTGACCAGGGCTTCCCCCAGCTGCTGGAAGCAGCTTTTTGGCCTGCAAGCCAGAATTCCTCAATGGCTTTTCTGTGAAAATAATGCTGAGATTGGGCAGTTTCTGTGCTTTGTCTACGTGGACCCCACCTCACAGCTTGCCCCAGTGTGCCCTTGCGTGTAGGGTGGTAATGAGAGCCTCGATATGCTGACTTGCCCAAACTATTGTTTGGAGACTGTAACCGAAGTTGCTGTTTCCTCATTAGAATAGCCTTTGTCAGAGCGTCTTTAATCAACGGACTCCCGAGAGACAGCGTTTTTAGAACTTCTTTTTATACCTCCTCTTGGAAGTTCTTTGCGCTGCGCCTGGTGAAGAAACTAATGAGATGCTGTGAGAGTTTGGGCTACCGTTAATTAGAAGAGGTCTGAGGAAGAAGTACTGCACATACATTAACTTTATCTTGGCTCACATGTCTCCTCTCTCCCTCTGTCTCTTCTTTCCAGGTTGCACAAACAGCAGATGGCTTGGATGCTGACCTCTGGAAAGATGGCTTGTTTAAATCCAAGGTCACACGATACCTGTGCTTCACGAGATCATTTTCAAAAGAAAATGTAAGTCCGTTTGCTGAGTGTCTGCATGATTTGCATCTATGCCTGGTATGCTTTTACCCATAAGATGATTCATTTTATGGAGCCAATTATAATTCAAGCAGGCATTTCGCTGAGTTTGAGTGAGTCAGGAGGCAAACTGCAATGGTTAGATATTTGCATTTTGTCTATGTTCTTCATGGAAAGAAGTAGAAAAGGGAATGCTTGCGTTTCAGCAACCCCCTCATGCTAGTGTTCCCTGCTGTAGCAATGGGCGCTGCATGCTCACGATCCTGATTAATTTCTAACGCTAATTACCTAGAGAAGCAAATGCTGCAGGTAGTGTTGATGAAGGAAAAGTTAGTTTCTGAATCCAGGGGCGTCATAGATATCTTCTTGCAGGATTAGCTTTTCTTTCTTTGTTGTTTTTGGTGCTGATTCTTGAAAACTTGCCCACGTTGTGCATATGGTACCGTATTCTTGTAATCTTCTAGTATGGCTATTAAGCATAAGTTAATTTCTGGTTAGTGGCAGTTGCCAGCCCACATCTTCCGTGGAGGAGAGGGGACCGTGTGCAGTGAGAGCCTGATGCCTTCTATTGTGTTTTTGGTTGAGGCTAGTGTGAAAACTTGCTCTTGTCTGGAGGAACTATTTAATTCTACAATGAATGCACTCCATCTAGTGGGTAATCCTGCTTTTCGTCGTGTTTTGGATATTCACAGTGACTCAGTTGTCAGGGTATGGAGATACCATTTTGTACTTGTGCTTTCACCAACGACAGGAATAGAAAAGCGACTGCGACTTCAGAGGCTGATCATGGGTCCTGACAGGAAAGCCAGGGGCTGCCAGTTTCCAGCATTTGACCTTTATTCCATCCGCTTCCCTGCCTGCCTCAGGATTAAAATAAAGCTCCAGAGCTATGGGAAATATCACTTCCTGGGGTGGATGGACAATAATTGTGCTTTTCATCCTGGAGTACCTGCAGTAGCAGGAATAGCAGCCCCAGAACAGGCAGGGAGGGTATTAAACAGAAATATTTGTGATGATTTGAGTATTACGTTTACCTTGAATGCGGGCTTGTCAGAAATAATTACAGGATAGTAGCAACTGCTGGCTACTAGAGACAGTGTAAATAACCCTCAGTTGGTGCCTGTTGGGCTTTTGGCATGAATCCTTTCCTCGGCACGGTTTGGGAATACGTTCCTTGTTTTGATGAGGAGTGAATTGACGGGAGTGTGGGGGGAGGACTGCCTGTCCCAGCCGTACAGCAGCCTGCTGTGCGAGGTGTGGCGCGAGTCGCTGCGTCCCGCGTGTGGGTTGTCTCGAGCACTGCGTCAGTGGCACATTAGACCTGCGGGCGCTTCTGGCAGAGCTCCTGGGCAGCAGCCTGCAGGCAGTGCTGCCGGTGTTCAGGTGCTGGCGTGGAGCCGGTGCTCCTGTGGTTCGCCGCAGCCATACCCGATGGATGGCGGGAGCGCCCTCGCCTCTCAGAGGGTGGATTTCCCAAGGCCCATCAGCCTCCTTCGGCCAGCCGAGCGGGCTCCCTCCCGAGGACACCCGTCTGCCCGCGCTAGACAGAACGTGCGCTCGTGCTGCTTGAGGCCATGGGCTTCATGTGTGCGAGGGGGCCTTTTTGTGAGGCAGAGACCAGACCGGCAGAGGCTGGCGCCAGTCTGCCAGCCCCTGGGAAGCACACAGAGCTGATCAGTGCTCCTGGTCCTCCGGCCGCGGGCAGGCTGGAAGTGGGTTGATGGGCTGGGAGGAGGAGGTGACCGGACTGGTGGGGGAACAGCCTTCTCCCCTTGTGCAGGGAGCAGCACCCTTGTCTCTGGTTAGCCCAGTAAGAGCTTTCCCTCCCCTCTCAGTCCTCCGGCCACACAGGGGTATGATGTGCTGCCTGACCAGGGACCTCCGAGGGTTAAAAGGCCTTGGTCCTCCCTCCAAGGTAGCAGCGACCTAGAGCTCTCAGCCGGGAGGGAAAGGCTCGTCTCGCCTGGATGTTGATGTGTTGCTGTGTTTTGGGTTGGAACTTTTACCACTCAGGGTTTTCTTGCGTTTAACAAAACACTGGGAACTATTTGTCCTGAAGAACATGTTCTGTTTAGCGGAGTTAATGCACCTCAGATACCTGCTTTATAACAGAGACAGTCTGTAGTGTCTCTTTATCAGAACCGTCATTCTCAACAGCTTACGATATTTGACAGATTATGAGGGCGTTGCCGGTATTTGAGTGTCATGGTGAGGAGGCCCCAAATGGTGCATCTCACAAACGGCGAGGCTTTGTGCCCTTTTCTCCTGTGTATATGGCAGAGCGTCAATGCTGAATCCCAGTGTTACAGCAGCTAATGAACTTATCAGAGGCATCTCTCCTACCTGTCTGCTGTTGATGGAGGAATGATTGTTGGTTCAGCTGAAAGTTGCACACTGATGTAACACAGCCAGACAGCTTGGATAAATAAAACATGAAAGATGAATCAGCAGCAACCACTTCATCTACTATTTGCTGTGCCAGGACCACGTTAACTGATACATTCAGGCTTTGCATCATCCAGCACTGCTCGCTCTGAGATGCCCTGGCCAAAGGGGGGACGGAGGCATGTGGGGACGGCCCGGCCTCAGCCAATTTGCGTGAGCAAAGGACATGTGCCGCGCTTGTGTGTGGTGGGACGGGGCTGCCGGCGTGGTGGCCCTCCTGCTGAGGAGTTGGCCATGAAATTCAGAACCTCCAAAAAAGAAACTCAGACCTGATCTCCCCTTACTTCAGAGGCTGCAAATTTATATATGTTTTAAAATAGTTCAGTGTAATAATCAGAGAGTAGAGGTTTGCCTGAAATACTCTGCTAGATAAAAACTGAAGGAGGTACTTAGCAACCAGTAACAGTAAAATACACTGACATGGTTTGATGGCTTAGGATGAAATTTTAATTGTTCTGTATTGCATTTCTGTTTATAAAGGCTGTGCAGTAACTAAAGTGTGTTTTTCTTCCATACGTGAATCCAGATTATTGGCAGCAATGCTGGCTTTAACGAGAACTGCAAAGAAAATCTGGTCTCTAAACAATTGTGGAGGCTGTCATTCTGAATTGTGTTTTGAGCTCTTCAAGCCTTGATTAATAGGATGAGGCATCAGTTCAGAATTCATATGGACTCCAAATGAAGTTCTTCGTTCCAAATGGCCTGCTCTTCTGGAGTGCGCCTGCGTTTGGAGCTAGAACCATGTCTGTTCAGTACTAATTAGCTAATGCATGTAATAACTTTGGCTGTGTCTGCATGAACCATCTTCCCGTAATGCTTTCTGCTGTTACTGTCACAGAAACGTCATGTAGCTATTGTAGATGTAGTGTGTGAGAACTGAGGTGACCTGCTTAGTGGATGAGTTGATGGGGGTAGTACTTTGAACTGCTGTGTGTCCAAAGGGAGGAATTTGATTATGCTTCTGAGGATCCAGAAGTATGGCAGTGGATGAGATGTAAGAATCTGTAAATGCTGAAAGTTGTCTGGTATCTCCTAGTCAATCATCATGTAGTTGCTGCAGAGGGAACAGTTGCCAGTCTTGGCTTGGTACCTCCTTACCATTTTTAAAGTTGGTGGTCAGTTACAATGCCAAGGTGTCTTGGGGTTCAGCA